AAAAAAAAAAAAAAACCTCTCAAAAAAAAAAAAAAAGTCACCAAATTAGTACAATAAAGAGGCCCATGCTTGGTGTTACAGTTGATGGCATACCGAAATGCAGTGCTGAAATACACATGACTGACCACCAATTCGAATCCCCAGCCTGGGCAACCTGAGACACATCAAGTATACTCATGCCCAAGATGCTCACAAGTTGGAGGGCTATCAAAGGGGAATCACAGCATGACAAGACCTTGTCCCGGGTGCTTTTATTTCACATATGCATGCATGTGTGTGTGCACATACTCTCTGTTGATAAAATAAATAAACTTTTTATTTTTTAAATACAGAGACATCCCGTGTACTCTTAACTCAGTTTTCTCCAGTGGTAATGTCTTGCATAACTAGTACAATTGCAGAACCAGGAACGTGACCCTCTACAGAACTTATTTAAATGTCACCAGTTTTACATGCATGTGTGTGTGTATTTTAATTTGCCAGAGGGCATGTGTGCTTGCCAGAGAGAGATGGGGGAAGATGAGAAAACATCTCTCATGGGGGATGGTCCTGCCGCAATCTCTTCTCCATTTCTCCTTTGAGAGTTTTGGGCATGCAGAACCAAATGCCCAGCATTTTCCAAGCCATGGGTTTTACACTGAACTTGAACCATTCAGTTGGCGATGTGGAATCCAGCAGCCTTAACCACCACACAACTGGCGGGCCTGTGTATTTGTTTAGATCTCTGCAGTTTTGTCACACGTGTAGATGTATGTGACCACCACAGCTGAATCCAGGACTTTGCTACCATCGCAGATATCCCTTGTGCTACCCCTTTAAGAGTCACACCCATCCCTTCCCCCTCGTCCCTGTCCCCCAACACCACCAGTCTGTGCTCCATGGCTGTAAGTTTGTCCTGTTGAGACGTGGTTACATCACTGGACTTCCACATGGTCGACTATGGTTTAGTCCCAGACTCAGTGGCTTCAGAATCACACCAGGCACGTGTGCATGCATGCACGGCCAAGATCCCGGGAGGAGAATGAAGGAGCATGGCCATCCCCCTGGGGAAGGGGGTGATTTCTCACTTTCCCTCTGCAAGCACACATGTCCGAAGGCAAAAATCTCTTCAAAAAAAAACAAAAAAGAGAGAGAGAGAGAGAGGAAGAAAGGAGGAAGGGAAGGGAGAGGAGGGAAGGGAGGAGAGGGAAGAGAGAAGAGAGGAGAGACTTACATAAATGGACTTACACAGGATACAACCTCCTGAGCTGGCTTTTCTTTTTCACTAATCGTATTTCCCTCGACACCCAAGTCGTTTCCTGTGTCAACAGTTCATCCTGGATCTAGCCATGGTAGCCCGTGCTGGTTGATGCTGCTATGATGTGGCAGGCTGAGGCTACATGAAAGGCCCAGTTTTGACTCCTGGCCCACCCTAAAAAAACCCAGGCATGGGAGACCAGCAGTTAGCGTAATGGCTATGCTGTTGGACTTTCATGTAGTTGACCGCAGTTTGAGTCCCGAACTCGGTGCCTTAAACTCAGGCCGGGTGCATGTGTGTGTGTGCCCAAGATCCTGAGAGGAGAATGGAGAAGGGATTGTGGCGTGGCCATTCCTCCCTGGGGGTGATTTCTCGCTTTCTGTCTCTCTGTCTCTCTGGCGAGTGCACGTGCCCTATAGCAAAAACCTCTAAAAAAAATAAATAAATTTTTAAAAAATTTTAAAAGCCAGGCATGGTGGTGTGTGCTAGCTGTCCCAGCTTCTCCAGGGGCTGAAGTAAGAGGACTGTGGCATAGTCAGATTCTGTCTAAAAGAATTACAAGTGCGTTTCTGTTTAGTCCGTGGTCTGTGGATGTCCATTTGACCACCCACTGAAGGACATTTGGCTTGTTTCCAGTATTTGGTTATTACAAATAAAGCCACTTTAAACATCCATGCACACGTTTTTGTGTAGACATAAGTCTTTATTTCCTTAGGGTAAATGCCCAGGAGTACAATTGCGGAGTCACATGGTAAGTGTTATGTTTAGTTTAAGAAACTGCCAGGATTTTTTTCCAGTGTGACATTTTGATTTTTCAAATGTATATTAAAAACAAAAGGACAACAAAAAGCAAATCAGGAATGTTAATGTTGGGGACCAGCAGATGGTATGATGGTTACATCGGTGGATTCCCACATAGTCGACTGCGGTTCGAGTCCCAGACCTGGCTGCTTAAAGCTCAGGCCAGGTGTGTGTGTGCATGCATGCCCAAAATCCCAAGAGGAGAATGGAAGGGAAGGGATTGCAGCACAACCATCCCCCTAGGGGTGATTTCTCACTTTCTGTCTCTGTCTCTCCAGTGAGTGCATGTGCCCTACAGCAAAAATCTCTCTCTTAAAAAAAAAAGAATGTTAATGTTGAATCTGATTATGTTTTTTAGGTCACCAGTGATGCAAGGGGACTTCAAAAAGTTTGTGGGAAAGTAGAATTAAAGAATGAACTTATGTTGGTACAAAAAAAAAAAAAGTTGAAATCCGTGCATAGTTTCTTCATAATACACATTTTCCATGAATGCATTCGAAGCCTTCTCGTATTTTTACAGTTTGGTATGGGTGAAAAAAATTAAATCCCGGCTCTCTCTTCTCCTAGGTGTGGTGCAGATAGTGGAGGTGATACTGAATGGGATGGTCCTCATGTGTATCGTGGCCTCCTACTTTGTCCTAGCTGGATTCAGTGCCAGCTTCTCCAGCGGCGGTGGCTTTGGGAACAACTATTACTCACCATTCGAGGGCACTGAGCTGGAGCAGGTCCGGCGGCTGGACCAGCAGTACTCAGTCCTCCGGGCGCCCCTCATATATGGTGGTGTGGCCGTTTCTCTGGGGCTGGGCGTCCTTACTATGGGCATTTTACTCCAGGGAGCCAAGAGTCTCACCAAACTGCCGGGCAAGTGGCTCCTGGTGGAGGCGGCCTTCAGCCTCCTAGCGGCAGTGGGCTACTGTGTAGGCCTCGGCATCTACCTGCACGTGGCCCTGCAGATCAATGCCACAGACACCTGCAAAACCAGAGAGCGGCTCTATGCCCGGAAGGGACTCACCTGGATGAACTGCCAGCTGGCCGGCACCGACGGCGCAGCGGCCACCTTCGCCTGCCTCCTGGTGGTCATGTATGGAGTCAGCGTGGTGCTGGCCCTGCGCAGCTACCGGGAACAGAAGCACTACAGGGATGGCCGAGAGCAGCCCAGAAACTACAGCGATGCCCCCCAGTACGTGTGGTCTGGAACTCTCTGAGGACACCCACTTCTGGGACCTAAGTGTCAAACCACCTCCACTGTTTCTCTCAACAAAATGGGTCCTTTAAAGCTGCATGAGGCCGCTATGGTCTCCACACACTCAATCGTACGTAGGAGCCGCCTTGGTGCCAGTGCAGAGTGAAGTAATCCTCTTGTGTTTCGGTTGTAAAGGAGATGTACATCTTTGTTGGCTGACTCCATGAGAACTTGAAAAACTGTTTGGGACCAGCAGTTAGTGTAGTGGCTATGTCGCTGGACACCCATGTAGTCAACCGCAGTTCAAATCCTGGACCCGGTGGCTTAAACTAACGCCAGGCGCGTGTGCGTGCATGCCCAAGATCCCAAGAGGAGAATGGAGGAGAAGGGATTGTGGCATGCCCATCCCCCCCTGGGGGGTTATTTCTCTTTCTATCTCTCCGTCTCTGTCTTTCTGGTGAGCACATGCACCGTATAGCAAAAACCTCTCCCAAAAAAAAAGCAAAACTATCTCTACCTTTATTACAAAGAGCCAGGGCCAGCTGGCTGTGCCCTCGGGGACAGCTCTCACCACACGTGAACGTAAGGTGGTAACAGGTGGTAACAGCTGTCTAACCAGAGAACCGTGCAAGCCGAGAGCTGCATGCCGGAGGGTAGCAGGTCCAGGGTGGCAATGGGTGTAACTAACTCACCTATCATAACTACTTGAAGTCATCGGAAGAAACCTGCCATCCCCCCCACATTTGGTCCCAGGGGAATGATGTTAAAGCAGTGCTAGGACTAAATTTCATGCCAGCAACTGCATTCAGACTCTCCTTTCTAGAGGGAGGTGTTCTGCAGAGAAGCTGCCGCCTGGGTGTGTGGCTGCTGCTTGCTCCCTGGCCTCCGTCAGTAGAGATGGGAGGAGGATGGACTCCTGATACATCCAAAGAATTGCTTTTAGCAAGGTTGTTCCTCCTCTGGTTACTTGCCATGGAGCCCAGAGAAAATGTTCTCTGCCAGTTGTTTCCAAGTGAGTTTCTTTCTTGTGGCAAGTTCCTCCACTGAAATTCACTCTCCTGTTTTTTTTTTTTTTTTTGCCAAAGGGCACATGTACTTGTTAGAAATAGAAAGAGAGGGAGAAAAGCACACCCCATGGGGGCAGAGTCATGCCACAATCTCTTCTCCATTTACCCTGGGATTTTGGGCATGCATACATACATGCCTGGCATATTTCTCAAGCTGCCAAGTCCTGAACTGGGCACTTGGCCCTGTGAGATCCAGCTGCCTTAACCACCAGGCCACAGGCTGGCCCTCCTGAAATATTTAAGGATTTCTTTAAAAAAAAAAAAAAAATGATTCTTCATCGGGCCAGCAGGTGGCATGTTGATTAAATGCTAGACTCCCACATGGCCAACTGCAGTTGAAGTCCTGGACCTGGTGACTTGCTTTCTCACTTACCTTTCTCCCTTCTCTCTCTCTCTCTCTCTCTCTCTCTCTGTGTGTGTCTCTGATCAAATTGGAAGATAACAGTAATAAATAAAGTAAAATAAAATAATAATTTTTAAAAATTAGTCTTCCATGAGACCAGCAGATAGTGCGGTGGTTAAGGCGCTGGACACTCCCATATGAGAGACCGCAGTTTGAGTTCTGGACCTGGTGACTTGCCTTCTCACTTTCTCTTTCTCTCTCTCTCTCTCTCTGTGTATGTGTGTGGTCAAAGTAAAATAAATGATGAATAAATAAAATTAAATAAAATAATTTTTAAAAATTAGTATTCCAAATAGTGAGAAAATTCACTTCTTTTTAAGGTTGTTACCATAGGACACATGTATTTGCTAGAGAAAGACAGTGAGAGGGAAAGTGAGTAATAATCCTCCCTCCCACCCCCGGGTGGGGAGTGCCATGCCACAATCCCTTCTCCATTCTCCTCTTGGGATTTTGGGCATGCATGCACACATACACAACCCAACATGATTTCAAGCCACTGGGTTCAGGACTTGAACTGTGATTGGCCATATGGGAGCCCAGCACCATAACCACTTTGCCACCTACTGGCCCCCACAAACTTCTTAAACATATTATTCAATTGATTGTGACAGATAGAACAGTAAATTTTACTAGACTACACAGCATCTTGGAGGCCTTTCATTTCTGCCTTCCCAGATGGTGCCCAGAGTAGGCCTTCGAAAGTAGGTAGGACTCTCACTACCATGAACTATTATCAGAATAGAACAGATCACAAACATTGGACTCTTCAAGTTTCCAGAAATTTTAAGGTGTTTTATACCTGCCCTTGAACTTTATCTTGAGTCTCGTATCTTAGTTTATTTCAGTGGCAACTAGAAATAAATACATTCTCATTATATAGTTTTTGTTTGTTTGTTTTAGGTTTTTGCCATAGGGTGCGTACACTCACCAGAGACAGAGTGAGGGAAAGTGAGAAATCAACCCCAGGGGGGATGGCCACACTGCAGTCCCTTCTCC